TATCTATCTATCTATCTATCTATCTATCTATCTATCTATCTATCTATGTCTAATTATCTATCTACATCTAACTATCCATCTGTGTTATCAATCTATCATGTATGTAGGTACTAGCTAGGTGACTGGATTCCTAATCTATAAAAGAGAGACATCTGAGGTTCACATGGGTCAATTCTTGTAGAGAGCTTTGTGAATTTCACAGTACTGTCTAAATAGCAGCTTTGATGACCACATGACTTCAGACTCTACTACAGTTCAAAGGGTGGGCTGTCAATGGAACATAGGATGGATGTCCCTGCAGGGATGGCCACCACGGGGCCATTTTAGCTAAGTGGAGGTGCTTCCACGATTCTTTTTGTTTTCACTTGTTTTGACAGGATCCATGATTACTGGATTATGCCTCTTGTTCCCAAACCAATTTAGGTTTGTTCCAATTTAAGATTTTTTAAATTGGCATGACCAATTACAATAGCACAACACACAAAGACTCACTCTTATTTTTTACAGAGACTCTTTTTGTTCTTGATTTAATAAAGGATATTTATTAAGGGATTTTGACATGTCTAATGGAAAAGGAGCTGATCTAAAACAAACATGAAGCTAACAGAGGGATTGCTCATGGCTTTAAAATAAGCATCAAAACTTGGCCTCATTAAGTTCTCTTGAGTAGCAAAAAGTCTGTTTCAACATTAGGTCAGAACCAGGGAGAAAAGTCAATGGTTCTGGGAGGTTACTTTGGCCTCCTACCACCTTGGCCAGATCAGCTCTGGACGCTGTAGACAGCTCCAGAATTGGTCCTTGAAAGTCAATATCCATTTGTTTCTTTACTACAATGTAAAACTAATGATTTGAGTCAGAGGACCAAGGTTCAAATCCTGGTCTTTGGCACTTGCTTATGTGTGACTTTGGGAAAGTCACAACCTCCCTGGGTCTTAGGTTTCCTCATATGTAAAAAGACAGGGTTAAGACAAATGGCCTCCGGAGACGCTTTGCTCCCAGCTCCCAGCTGTGGTTCAATGAACTCATCCATTCAACAAGTATTTATTAAGTGCCTTTTATCTGTTGGGAACTTTGCTAGGGATATGAAGGCAGAAATGAAACAGTGCCTGCCTTCAGGAAGCTTACATCTATTATGTGGTTACATGAAAAAAAAATCTAAGAAAGTCACTTATTAACTTAAGATACAGAACATAGATGGCCTATGGGGTCTCATCTGACTCTGAGATTCTGTCCACCAGAATCTGGAACAAATGCTCCAGTGAATAGTATTCTCTATTACATTTCAAAATACAAAGAAAGGACTATGTGTTTCTAGTTTTAAAAAATCAAACTCATGCAAAAGACACTATTAAAACATAGTAATGGAGACATTTAATCAGCAGACATTTATCAGGCATTTACTATACAGGTCTAGTCCCTGCCTTTAAGGAGCTCCCAAATAAATTCAACAAAACTTCCTATCTTGAGCGAGCATCCATCCATCCATCCATCCATCCATCCATCCATCCATCCATCCAT